CAGACTTGATTAACGTTAGAAAATTCTTAGAATCTTTCAGTATAGAGTTAAAATGTCAAGAAGATAATATTCAAAAGGAACTTCAACTCTCGGAAAGACTTACCAAAAAACAAAACAAAGAAATCAGGGATAAATGCAGGTCAGATTTTATAACTTTTGACTAATTATGACTAACTGATGAAATCTTTTATTACACTATTTTCTAATCTATTTAACATTATAGTGTGAATGAATATTTAAAGCTCTCTAGTCAATTTTTTGTTGATCCAACAATTTTCTGCCTTCTCCGCCAGTATCATAGCGGAACTAATTGTAACACAGGATCACCAACTTTGTCACTTCCATCTTTACCTGTACAGCCTGATTCTGCTAGTATGAAGAAAAAGTCTAAAGGCAAAAATAAAGAGCCACTTTTCTCCACACAAAATCAAACAAAAACAATACCACAGAAGAGAAATATAGATTATTTAAAATCGGGGAACAAAGGTCACAAGCCAAATTCGATAAACCCTACTCCACTTAGTAACACTACAGACACTTCAAACAATTCGGATAATTTACAGATAAAACAAAACTCGATGAGTTTTGGCTATCGAGACTCAAAGCCAAGATTCAGTTCATCAAATAAGAATTCTTCAGATCACACAACTTCTTCATGCACAGAGCACGGATCAAGTATAAGACCGGAGCCATCAGCTTTAGAGCTAAGATTCTGGGAAATGGCCAAGGAACTAGATAATTCTCCTTTGGCGAGCCTAAAGTAAGCATTACCTAATATAAGATATGCTTTATATTGATAACCCTGTATAAGAATAACTAATCTAATTCCTGTAGGGAGGAAAATCGAGTCAAGGTTCCTAAAATTCGTACGGAAATGAATTATATAGCATCTAAAAATGTATGTTGCCTTCAATTACTGCATTCATTAATATCAATTTACTAACTTAAATCTATTTAGTATAAAGGTTCTTCCAAACCGCAAAATATTGTGAATAAACTTGAAGTCATCCTTTCAGTCGCATTTTATAATCAAAATAAACCAGCCACTCGTATGCAGGAATTTTTGGTTTTGGGAAGTCAACCTCTAACAGCTCTGAGAGATGCTTTCTATTGTTTGCGTGATTTTTACAAAGTTACACCGTGGGAACAACCAACAAAAAACGTCATAACAAATTTAACGGATAAGAAAACATCTTCCAGCTATTTTTTTATTGAAAATGTGTTTTATAATGACTTAAGAGATCCAAGAGCTATCGACTACAGCAAGTATGCTTATTTTATATTTGATATGAAGGTTATCTTGAATTAATTAAGATGCTTAATTTTTCATTAATACCTTAGGAATATCATAGAATGGGTCAAGGAAAAAAATTTATATAAACAGAGAGGGTTAGGTCTTTATAGCAGTAAGAAGATGGAAGAAATGACATTCATTGAACTGTCAATAAGGTTGAATTATCCTTACCTGTTCGTCCATCAAGGAAATTGCCAGCATGCCGTGGTGTTCAGGGATTTACGGTGACTTATTATTGATCTTAATACAAATTATTGTTATTTTTGATGATTATCATACCTTACTTTTATGAACAAAATTTTGTAGTATAATGCAACCTTACGATGAACAAGACTTATCAGCTTATCCTAAAGCAATATTCCGGGGTAAAATCAATCGACATAAATGTCGCATGTGTATGCAGCGACCTACTCTGTATGTATTTCGAAACCTATTATGGCATCCATCAAGTTTATATTGTTGACTAGTCCACACTCTATATTATATAGTCTCGTGACCATTAATGATTTCATATCGGGCGAATCTCCTGCTTACTTTTGCGACCCTTGCTACTATCAATTTCATTACAACTCCAAAAATGAATTACTTTATGATAATTTTCAGGTATTTGATCTTTCTAATT